CACAATACGTTGATGATCAAAATCATGCCCTAAATAAATTCGATCCTGGAGTAGAAATACTCAACGGTTGTGGCTGATCAATGAAACAGTTGGACGTGAAAGCCAATTGTGTGATTTCTGCAAACCGTAGTCAAAAACTCTGAAGTTCTGATAGGTTCGAGCTTAGGAATAACGAACGGTCGCTATCGCTCAACATAGAGTTCGTCGCATGTGATTGAGTCGCGTGAAAGCGAGAGAATATTCCCAAATACACTTCAACTTATTCGGCAAATAACCTCATGTTAGCGCTGGTTTCAGTTGATAAATTTTTCCGGGCACTCAACACCAACAGCGGAAATAACGGTGCTGGTGAGGGTACCGAAGAAACCGTGAATGGTATCACAACAACCGTTGCCATGCCACTGACTGGCGGGCCGGGATTGAAGCCAGCCTCAATAATGGATCTTTTTGGTGGTGGTGGTGGTACGGAATCCGGAAGCGTAACTCCTCAGAAGCCAACAGAATTTGTCGAGCCGGAACGGCCAACCCAGGAAGGAAATGGAGGGTCACTGTTCGGTATTGAGAAACTGCTTGGACTAGCTGGTGGAATGGTAATTGAGTATGTCTTGATGAGCACTTAAAATATTCCAAAGCAAGCCATTGTGAAGAAAGATTCCAATGAAAACATCGACATCAAATGTTTTTTCATGAATGCACACTGGCAATCCATTACAATACATCACAGTATCCATATCTTGAAGCTACAGTAAAATTTTCACAACTGTATCGTATGCGCTGATAGAACACCTAGGTGAAACTCGGCGGGGCAGAGGTGGGCGTTAATGCGCTATCGTTAATTTGCGAAAGTTAGCGAGTTAGCGAATTAGTTGTTTCGTTAACTTTCGCTAACGAGCGAAACAGCTAGTCCGCTAACTCGCTAATTTTTGTTAATTAACGGTAGTGCGATAATGTCCAGCTCTGCTCTGTAGCATGCGAGCTATATGACCTTATCACATAATTTTCATTCTTTCCAGACAGTCGATAAGGCACAAACAATAACGAAACCATCAGTAGAATCCCCGATAACAGCGTCGATTGAACAACCCACTGATCCAGGCGATAACTTGCTTGGAAGTATTCTGAACGGACATTTCGGTGAAATAGACTGGATTGGCTCTCTACTTGGTACCAAACAAACGCCGTCACAAGAGGAAGGCAACGCCATGGCGCAACTATTCAAAGGTGGCTTCTTCGGGCCAGCAGATGATAGTGTGTGAAGAGAGCACTCTCGACAAAACCCGTGATTTTATTATTA